CCCCAGCCCCATAAATCTGGGACCCATATTCACGGCCTGAAAAGGCCCCTGACCTGCCCTTGTCCCCCCACAGAAGCACACGGACGAGCTGCAGGCACAGGCCGAGGCCTCGCTGCTGGCACTGGTTTGTCACCTCTACCAGGTGGGACAGGGCTCTGTGGGTACAGCAGGGCTTGGGGACACGTCCCTGTCCCTGCTGGGGCTCTCATGGCTGCTCTCTGGCAGGGGGAGAAGCCTGAGGCCTGCGGGGGCTCCAAGGCCCCGAAGATCCGGCCTGGCTGCAGGCGCTGAGGGAGCGCTGAGGGAGAGGCCAATAAAAAGGATTTTTTATGGAAAAGCAGCAGGATCTGGAGTGCTGTGCTGAGGGAGCAGGGAGGGGGTGTTGTGCCCTGGCACAGTGGGAAGGGAGAGGGGCTGGGCACTGGGATTGCCCTCCAGACCTGGGGATTTCCTGCTCCAGAGGGTCACAAAGAAGCCCCTTGAAGATTCCCAGGGAACTCTGCTGAGCACCAGAACATTTCCTCTCTCCAAGTCTTGGGAGGCAGCTCCTGTGTCCATCTCTCTCCTTGCAATGACAGCATTAAACTCAATAATAATTTCAGGAGCACTGGGGCCAAGACCATCCCAGTTGCCACCAGTTCCCCATTCCCAACCAGCAGGTTTAGGATGGAATCTTTTCCCTGACAAGCAAACTTCTCTGGAATTTCCCAGACCTGCTTGCCCCAGCAAGAAGCCATTCCCAGCTGGGGTCTGAGGGGTGAAATTCACCACAAGGATAAGGGATTCCTAATCCAGAGAATTTTCCTCCCTACCTGTAGAACAACTCCTCAGTGCCAGGGCCCTGCCTGGGTGAGAACCGGAACCCAAACCTGCTTTGTTTTCCATCCTCATCCCGAGGCTCCTGACTGCAGGGGCTGCTCAAAGCTCTCCTCACATGAGGTGTGAGACTCATCCCAGCTCTGGGCACAGCCCAAGGGCACTCGCACACCCTGAGAGCCACCTGTACCTCCCTAAACCCTTTCCCAGAGGAGCTGGGGAGGCTGTGGGAGCAGGAGGGACACAAGAAACCCCCAGATTCCATCCTGAGAGATGCCAGAGAGCCTTGAACAGCCAAGAGCAAGGAAAAACCATGGCCCTGCCACCACAGCATCACTCTTGTCTCAGGCTTAGCCAACCTGGGCACCCCCTCAGTGTCCCCACCACCGCAGGNAGCTGAGCCTGTACTACGAGAGCCTGTGCCCGGCGTGCCGCGAGTTCCTGGTGCTGAAACTCTTCCCCACCTGGCTGCTGCTGCCCGATGAGATGCTAAACATCACCCTGGTGCCCTATGGCAATGCCCAGGTAGGAGCCTGTGATGGTGTTCACGGGGGGTTTCAGATGAGGGAAGAGATGAGGATGCTGATTCCGTACTTCAGAAGGCTTGATTTACGACTTTATGATATATATATTACATTAAAACTATACTAAGAATAGAAGAAAAGTTCTCATCAGAAGGCTAGGCTAAGAATAGAAAAGAAAGACTAACAAAGGTTTGTAGCTCAGACAGAGAGAGAGCCAGCTCTGCCGTGATTGGCCATTAATTCCAAACATCTACAAGAGACTAATCACCTGTTGCATTCCACAGCAGCAGATAATCAATGTTTACATTTTGTTTCTGAGGCTTCTCAGAAGGAAAAAATCCTAAGGGAGGATTTTTAATGAAAAGATGTCTGCGACAGGAGCCGGTGCTCTCCCTGGTGGTGCCAGCCCTGCTCATCCCTCTTGGTCCCACAGGAGAGGAACATCAGCGGCAAGTTGGATTTCCAGTGCCAGCACGGCCCTGAGGAATGCCTGGGCAACATGATGGAGGTGACGGTGCCCGTTCCCACGGGGCTGGCATGGAGGGGCCCAGTGTCCCCTCATCGCCCGCCCTGTCCCCCCAGGCCTGTCTGATGCACGAGGCCAAGAACTTCAGCACCTACTTCCCCGTCATCTTCTGCCTGGAGTCGGGCAGCTCCGTCACCAAGAACCTGGAGGCTGTATGTCCCCTCCCCGCCCCTCACTGCCCCTCGTGGGGGATGTCCCTGTCCCCCTGAGTGTCCCCTGT